ATATATATATATATATATATATATATATATATATATATATATATATATATATATATATATATATATATATATATATATATATATATATACATATTTTCTATGGATATGCTGCAATAAATTCATTATTATTATTATTACTATATTAAATATTATTATTATATTATTATTATTATTATTATTATTAGATTAAATATAATTTTAGGTGTATCTTTATATTACTATTAGTATTCTACCTTTGTATATTTTGACTTGTTGGAATGTAGGGCACCTGTTGATAACAGCATTACTTGTGACGCTGAAAGGTTTACCCTACTAAAATAAAGTTTTTCATACTCATACTCATGCTCATACTCGTCCTACCTGTTCGGCTGTTCCACTTTCGATACGAAACATGGAGCGCCGAGTTATCATACGACACATTCAAGTGTACAAATTATGGATGATTCCAATTCACTACAAATATTTCTTACTCTTATTCTTTGAAATATTAAAGATTTGGGAACAATGCTATACCAAGACAGCATTCAATACCCTGTGGGTAAACTAGTACGTGCTATATAACTCGTATAGTATGAGCCTCATTAACCATGTGCTATATAACCTTAATTCGTTGAATATAGACTACATGAACTCGGCAATTGTTCGCAAGTGTGGATGTTTTTTGACGGAATACGATCGAGGTGTTATAGTACATCTAATTGAGGTTTTCCTGATTGCAATGATATATATCCTATACTGTACTGCTGAATATGGTTTCTTTAGTTGCCTCCCGCCTGGTCATCTTGCTACGCACCTGATTTCGTCTCTCATCACATAAACCGACGATATTATTTAGATGCGCGCACAGCGTTTATATTATTATATATTGGCATCAAGATAGACATATTAAATTCTGCAACGTAAGTAGTAATATAGGGGCCGTTCGGGCCGGATTTTTGTGGTGGAGTGTGGTGGAGTGTGGTGGAGTGAGGAGGAGTGAGAGTGCGTAATGACGTCACGCGGACGAACTTAAACACGATCGGGCGAAACTTCCTGACTACGCATTTTTTAGCGTCCCTCCTCCACGTGTATGATACCACAGTTAGGGCTATATGCAAGAGAATATGTTCTTGTCTGGAGATTTATAAGTACAGCTCTAGCATTTTGCTGTTATTGTCAAGTGATTCCTTTAATTTAGCTCCTAGAGGAGTAAAAAATCTGAGACTATATGAAATAGCACTAGTGTTATATATCCAAAACTTATATATTCGGGGTATACAGCTATATGTTTTGTTGTTAAGTAATATTTATATATTATGAAGCGTCAAAACGCTGAGAAATAGCATGTGGTAAGAGTTATTATGTATCTACAATTAAACTAATATTTAAATCCCAGTCTGCCATATGAGGTCTATATACGAGAGAATATGTTGCTGTCTAGAATTATATAAACACATGATATATAATTGTCAAGCGATTTCTATATTTTAGTGCTAGGTTTTTAAAGTACTAAAACTCGGATAAGGTTGATAAATTTAAGCTATATTAAAGCACACCAGTTGCTATGTGTTGTTAGGGTGAAACTAATTAAAGGATTAACTTTATATCAGAGATTTGCATTTTCTACTGTGTGGATAAATACGGGTAGATTAGGATATTCATTGCGCGGGCGTCGCGGGCTATCCGTGCGGGTTGGAAATACAACAATAAGGAGGCTTATATTGGAAGAGAGAAAGCAATTTAGACAAGACAGCAGCGCTTTGCAGTCAAAAGTTTACCCAAGAATTCAGTCTGAAAATACATTTATTTCTTCGAGACGTTTACAAAGTTAATGTGGTCTACTTCTTAGAGCATAATATGTTTGATTTTATTTAAATTACGCACAACAATTTAAATGTTTTTTGTAATAAGAGCCGTTTGGCTTAGTTGTTCATTCGCCATGGTTTCTTTAACAAAGGTTCGGACCGTTGGCTCGTCTTCGTGCAGATTCACCCACTTCATACGACCCGTAGATTGGTTCACTATTTTAACAGGCCAATAATTTTCTCCGCCGATGTAGACACCCGGATGGCTGGGATCAAAACTATTGCGCAATGACTTATACATCTCGGTAATAACGTATCCTTCTGGAATGTTACGGACCACCGGCGCTCCCAAATTGTAGTTTTGCCACTCGGGAATAGTTGCATCCGACCAAGTAATATACCTCTGATGTTTATGTTGTTTTCTTCCAGGCTTATGACTCGGTGTGGGCTCGACATTATTATTGTTCTCTTTAGTTTGGGTGGCGAAGAGATAAACATGGCAGTCGTCAAATATACGTCCCCAAGAACTTGCTTATATCGGCTGGTGTGTCAGGTTTGTTATCCACGACCAAATATCCAAACGGTTTTTCGGTCTCTTTGTAATAAGCATTCATAAAGTGGACTCTGTTCTTATCAAACATGCGTTCTCCAAAGATACCAATTTGTTTCCTATCACTTGGACTTCGGAAGAGAGCGAGATATTGGGCATTTCGGCTAATATCTGTATTAAATTTGCCTTTGGGAAACATGTTCTGGAGCAAAAGGATAACACTCGCGTTTCTATGACGACCCTGGGTAAATAATCGAGATACCACAGGACTGTCTGTCGCTTCAGCCATCAGATCGTCCAGTATGATGATGTTGTTGTACCGCGTATGAATCTCGCTCATGTTCTCGGACAGCTCAGGCAAACCTCTCTCAAACTGGATGCTTTTTCCGAGGGATTTTCTCAAACTGTCGTAACAATCTTGCCACTGGTTGTAGTACCAAAAAATACGAATACGTTCTTGCTCATCGTACACGATACGATTCTTTTCCAAAATTTGTTGTACAAAATATGTTTTTCACTTTGGCTCGGACCCACGACCAATAGCGAAAATTTATGGCGGAAGTTGAATTCCGGATAGGGTTTGCTGGTCAGAGATGCTTGTGCTGTTTTCGGTTTCTTAGTTGACAACGAGTATGCCCTTCTGCTCACACGCATTTCTCCCTGCTTTTCAGAGTTCATGTACGGAGATTTGTTGATGTAGGGCTGCCATGACGACACCTTGGCTTGCTTAAGATAAGGTTTTCTCTCCTTGGATTGTAAACCGTGAACTTGTAAAAGATGTGTACTGATATTCTTCGAATCAGGCCGACCGCAATAGGCCATGGGCCAAGTGCCGAAAATGTGACTTTTGAATATGCACCTCGGGGAACCAAAAAATTTTTTCAATAACTATTAGCATATGTATTTTAGAACAAAATTATGTGGTATGCCAATCGTGAGTCTTGCACATTAATGAGAAAAATCAACCACTTTCTTGACTAATTTGTATGAATTTACTAAATACTTTGTTTCAAATACCCAGCATGTTTATATCTCTTAACCAATCAAAACGGATTTTGCCCAACGTTAAACCAATCAGATAAGTGTATCATGTTTCAGTCGCAACAAAGACTAGTTGTAAACAAATATGGCGTCCGTCGGTGAAGGCAGACGGCCAGGGAAAGATTTTTGCATTATATGCATATAATAAATAATGCAATATACATTATGGTGCAGTTTTGTGATATTCGCCGCAAAGTGGAAGAAATTTATTTGTAAAGAGGACGAAATCGCACATGATTCGGAGGTGAAACTTATGCACACAGATAATGTTAAGAGTTTTCTGCCAACACCAGCCTACTGCAAATTTCGCCTGGAGTGCTACAACAGGTTTTGTTAGCAAACAGAACGTCGAAAGGGAAGAAAGAAGACACGCTATAAGGGACGAGAATGCCAAAAAATGTAAGAGAGGATTGTTGAGAATTGTGAAAAATATAGTGGTGTTTTATTACAACGAACCGAAATATGATCAACTTAGGTCATTCAATAAACTCAGATACGTCATAAATCCTTAAAAAAGTCACGGAAGACTAATATATTGAGTTAAAGTTGCACTATCAATATTAATTTAGTGATACTAATGTTGACATGGTCGTTTTTTATTATTAGGGAGTGGTCATTATTTATGGGGAGGAGGGGTTGGGAAATGGGAGGGGGGTAGGGGGCAAACGAAGTTTTACCCTTATAAATAGGGGGGGGGGTCAAAAAAGTTTTAACACAGAGAAAGGGGGGGTCATAAAAGTTTTTGATTTCTATAATCACAAATAGCAAAAAAGAAGACTCTGAAAATGCTATTTCCAACGATCTAGAGACTCGAAATGTTCAAAATTTCCCTGCTGGGCGCCAACCATGGTGGCGCATCGCGACCGTTGAGCCCACTAAGTTTAACAAGCTTTCTACTTCCTGAGTGACCCAGTTGTGGTATTTACATAAACATACCATCCAAGTACACTTAACTGATCAGATTCGGTCTATCGACGCACAATGTAACGCTGTATATCCAAAAATCTGTTTCAGAAAATGCTCAGAGGAAAATGCTCACATTTCAATTCTAGGAGTGGAAAAATAAAAAAAAATTTCTGTGGGAGAATACCTCCAGACCCCCCTACTAGTACATATGATACCACACCAAACTTTTTGTCACCAACAACCATCTGTCATCTCTCCGCACTCAATATAGTATGGTCCTTTTTGTAGATGCCCACCCCCCAGACCACCCCAAAAAACCTGTGTTCAAATCATTTCGCTGTATGAAGACGGGTCATGGGTTAGGGTTATGGTAGGACAAATGTTGCATTGCAAAGTAGTAACACATAATATATATTTTTTAATCATATATGGTTGAATCATATTCACCAGGGTAAAACATCATGAGCTAGATTAAACAGATTGTCCTAATATCTAACTTTACCTGCAATGCACACCTGTTTCACTGCTGTTAATTTTTCAATCCACACTGGGGGGGGGGGTCAGAAAAATTTTTACTTTTATGAGGGGGAGGCACAAAAAGTTTGCCTTCAGTCTGGAAGGGGGCTCAAAAAAGTTTTCAATCCTTATTTTCCCCATTTCCCAACCACCCCCTCCCCATAAATAATGACCACTCCCTTACAAATGTATTTTAATACATAGCAAATGCAGGGGGTACCTTACTGAAGGGTTTAAATCAAATTGAACAGTATTTGATGGTTCATGTATTCAATACCTAAATACAGGCACCTCCATCACATTTTATAAAGAAAACATGGTGATTAACCAACTTGTAATATATAAAAATTATTATGCATATTTGAGAAATAATACTGATTTAATTAATGGAGAATAAGTATTCATTTCAGCTCCACTTTATAAACTGTTACAGTTCATTTTGTTGTTTGTTTTGTTAAAAAGACTTGTGCGCTTAATTGTCAAATGTGTATAACATAGCGTGTTAAATATTTTTTAGTGTAGTTTCAAATTATTTTTTTCTTCTTGTGGGGCCTTGTGTTAGATTTGGCAGATTCTATTATTTTTTAAATCGGAAATACTGTGGATAAAATCCTAATGTACCACAGCATACCAGTGTGGCAATAAGTAAGAAACGGCTTATCACATTATACGAGGATTTGGTGTGTCATGTTGTGTGATAATATTGTACTGTCAGATATTGCTAACTTAATTTAGTGGAAGGTCTCGGAAGGTATAAGTACTAAAATCACTACAGAATATCGGTGGTATGAGTTTTTTATGGTAAATTTGATCACTCGGTGGGATTCCTGAATAGTAAAAGTGTTGTATCGCGTAGAAAAACTGTTAATGAATGTAAATTTTGTTCGTTGTGAACTTATTTTCAAACTTTCTGATTTTAAAGGCATTAAGCAAAAAAAGGTACAAAAATAAGGAATTTTATTTGTTGTTTATCCCGATTATTTTTAAGAATTTTATGAAAATGTCCATTTTTCATTTTCATATGACCACTCAGACTCAAGCTAATATATATTCACAAAAATAAAGTATATAGCATGTTTCCTTCAAATTTTTTAAGAGAAATTAAAAAACTGGTATTCTGTGGTACTGTGATATTCTGTTGTTAACATACACCTGTACACGTAAAAGAGTAGTATGAAAAACTCTTTACAGGTATTACTAACAGATTGTACACCTTGGAGCTTGGTCATTGCAAATGCTTTCCAGTCAGTTTAACAATTATCTTGTGAAAACAAAGTTAACATAAAGAGCAATTTGCATAAAATATGAAATTACGCAATCCAAAATGGCCGCCAACTATAAAAAAACTTTACATACAATTGACCCGATTTGTGACTTAATGTGCAAGTTTCAGGCTTGGCATACATAAAAAATAACAATGAGCAATGCATAAGCTCACTATGGTGTAAAATTTATCTGGTTCCCCGAAGCGCGTATTCAAAATCGATTTCTAAACACATTTTTGCCACTTGGCCCATGGCCTATAAATTCTAAGGTTTGAGGAGTAAATTCTAAGTTTAGAAGGGTTAATTCTAAGTTTTGAAGAGAAAATTCTATATTTTGAAGAGTAAATTCTAAGTTTTGAAGAGTCAATTCTAAGTTTTGAAGAGTAAATTCGATATTTTGAAGAGTAAATTCCAAGTTTTGAAGAGTAAATTCGATATTTTGAAGAGTAAATGCTATGTTTTGAAGAGTAAATTCTATGTTTTGAAGAGTAAATTCTATGATTTGAAGAGTGAATTCTATGTTTTGTAGAGGAAATTCTAAGATTTGAAGAGTAAATTCTAAGTTTTGAAGATTAAATTCTAAATTTTGAAGAGTAAATTCGAAGTTTTGAAGAGTAAATTCTAAATTTTGAAGAGTAAATTCTAAATTTTGAACAGCAAATTCTAAGTTTTGGACAGTAATTTCTTAGTTTTGAAGAGTAAATTCTAGGTTTTGAAGATTAAATTCTAAGTTTGAAGTTTAAATTCTAAGTTTTGAAGAGTAAATTCTAAGTTTTGAAGAGTAAATTCTAAGTTTTAAAGAGTAAATTCTAAGTTTTAAAGAGTAAATTCTAAGTTTTGAAGAGAACATTCTAAGTTTGAAGAGTAAATTCTAAGTTTTGAAGAGTAAATTCTATGTTTTGAAGAGTAAATTCTAAGTTTTGAAGAGAAAATTCTAAGTTTGAAGAGTAAATTCTAAGTTTAGAAGACTAAATTCTAAGTTTTGAAGAGAAAATTCTAAGTTTAGAAAATTAAATTCTAAGATTTGAGTAGTAAATTCTAAGTTTTGAGAGTAAATTCTTAATTTTGAAGAGTAAATTCTAAGTTTTTAAGAGTAAATTCTAAGTGTTGAAGAGAAAGTTCTGAATTTCGAAGAGTAAATTCTAAGTTTTGAAGAGTATATTCTAAGTTTTGAAGAGCAAATTCGAAGTTTTGAAGAGTAAATTCGATATTTTGAAGAGAAAATTCTCAGTTTTGAAGAGTAAATTGGATATTTTGAAGAGTAAGTACTAAGTTTTGAAGAGTAAATTCTATATTTTGAAGAGTAAATTCTAAGTTTTGAAGAGTAAATTCTGAATTTTGAAGAGTAAATTCTAAGTCATGATGAGTAAATTCTATATTTTGAAGAGTAAATTCTAAGTTTTGAAGATTAAATTCTAAGTTTTGAAGAGTAAATTCTAAGTTTTGACAAGTAAATTCTAAGTTTTGAAGAGTAAAATCTAAGTTTTGAAGAGTAAATTCTATATTTTGAAGAGTAAATTATAAGTTTTGAAAAGTAAATTCTAAATTTTGACGAGTAAATTCCAAGTTTTGAAGAGTAAATTCTAAATTTTGAAGAGTAAATTCTAAGTTTTGAAGAGTAAATTCTAAGATTTGGAGAGTAATTTCTTAGTTTTGAAGAGTAAATTCTAAGTTTTGAAGATTAAATTCTAAGCCTCGAAGAGTAAATTCAATTTTTTTTAAGAGTAAATCCTAAACATTGAAGAATAAATTCTAAGCTTTGAAGAGTGAATTTTAAGTTCCGAAGAGTAAATTCTAATTTTGAAGACTAAATTCTAAGTTTTGAGGAGTAATTCTAAGTTTAGAAGGGTAAATTCTAAGTTTTGAGGAGAAAATTCTAAGATTTGAAGAGTAAATTCTAAGGTTAGAAGAGTAAATTCTAAGTTTTGAAGGGAAAATTCTATATTTTGAAGAGTAAATTCTAAGTTTTGAACAGCAAATTCTGAATTTTGAAGAGAAAATTCTAAGTTTTGATGAGTAAATTCTATATTTTGAAGAGTAAATTATAAGTTTTGAAAAGTAAATTCTAAATTTTGACGAGTAAATTCGAAGTTTTGAAGAGTAAATTCTAAATTTTGAAGAGTAAATTCTAAGTTTTGAAGAGTAAATTCTAAAATTTGGAGAGTAATTTCTTAGTTTTGAAGATTAATTCTAAGTTTTGAAGATTAAATTCTAAGTCTCGAAGAGTTAATGTCCTCACCGTTTAATAAATATATATATATATATATTGAGATATTTAATATAACGACACGCATAAGAACACAAGGTTTGTGGGGTTATGGAAGTGTGGGACAACTGCTCTATATACTGTATTTTTTATCTGCGAAGAGCTGGGTG